ACAGACACACACACATTCATACACACACACTTACACGTACACATCTACTGCTAGCTCCCATCTGGTGATAGGGCATTAAGAGGCGAGGCTGAATAAGGAACTATTGGCACACATGCATGCATGTCCATGCACAGACACACATACACGCGCTTCAATCCAGGTGCTTTAGCTGAATTAATTGAAAAAGAAAAAATCCTCCTCCCCCATGTTCAGATCTTCTATTCAGCATCGATTTGCACTGCAAAACTGCGCTCTTTTGTTTCTTGTCTGTGTCCAAATATCCAACAATTGGACACTACAGGGAGAATTTTTAGCTGTTGACAAGAAAATAAAGCAACAAGTCTTTTTTGTTTGTCTATAAACCAAACAAGAAACCTTGCGCTGCCCTTAAAGGTCCAGTGTGTAAAATTCAGGAGGATCTATCGGCAGAAATGTTATATAATATTCATAGGTATGTTTTCATTTGTGTGTAATCACCTGAATAGGAATCTTTGTGTTTTTGTTACATTAGAATGAGTCGTTTTCTATCTACAGGCTCTGCGGGTGACCTTCCATGGAGGCCACCATGTTGAACCACCATGTTTCTATTGTAGCCCAAGGTTTTTTTGCAAGTTTCGCAGCCACTGTAGTTTCACATTCCCAGGTTGTCAAATACTGATGCAAGCTGCGTTCACTTAGTTGCAATCTGCAACCTAACCTCTACACGCCACTAAATTCTACACACTGGTCCTTTAAATAACCATTTATAACAGGTAATTTTTTTCTTTGAGCTTCTGTGAATGTGAGTGTACTATTAATGTCAAGAATTCACATGTATGTTTTACTGGAGGAATTTGTGATCAAACCAGCAGCAAAGTATTTTAGGATGTATGCTTGTGAGTCATCCTCTTGAAAAATTATTTATTTCTTTATGTTTTTGTTTATCTTGTTCTGCCTATTTTGCCCTGGAATTACTTGCCTTTTGAAAGAAAGGCAAAGAACAAAGAAATATTATTATGTCTGTCTGCAATGAATATGTTTGCAGATGTCTGAGCTCCATGCAGATAATCTTGCATCCCACTGTCATGTTTTAAGTGTTTTTCTGTATGTGTGTGTGTGTATGTGTGTGATCTTGAAGGAGGCCTTATGAAGGAGAGTTTCTGACTTTGTAATATTAAAGTGCCTCGCCCCAGAGGCTCCCCCTTGACAAGCCTATGACGCACTTCCTGACAAGGTGGTAGGAGGCTCTGTCTGAGGAGAAGATAAGGAGGCGGGGAGGAGAAAGGGGTGAGGACCAGCTAAATATACACCAGCTGTGGTGATAGTGCTGAAGGCTGGCATGTGCAACCAATCATGCTTCCTGACTTGTGCAAGAGGAGGATCCTGCTGCTGTTTTCTGAGCCAATGGCAGCCGGTCCAAAGCCTGTTGTGGGGGGGTTTGTAACCCAGCATTCAGGTAGAAGAACAACATATAGAAGATAATTTAAGGTCTTGAATACCATGGTGCTGTGCTGTACTGTATCTGCATTCTGCACATCTATGTATAGCTCAGTGAACACGCCCATGGTCGTGTTACGCAGTGATCTTTCATTGAGCACCATGGACAGCTCACGTGTGGATATATGTGACTGCAGAAAGCAGAAGAGGCTCCATAAAGTTACAACTTTTTTTTCAACCCAAAACAAAGATATATCTCTGTTTCCAGTTATTTTTAATGACGCAACTTTTGAAAATGCTCATGAGTGATTTGGGAAATCTTTAAATATTCATGAGGTTTGAAAAAAGAAGAGTAATGCTTGTGCTAATGTGATACGTTGAGGATAATAATTCCTATCAGTCATACCTAAAGTGATCATATTGTGTCCTGCTTGATCTTAAGTTGATATTCTATCCAAAGACACATACTTTCTCATTATCCTGTGATTCTCTCAGAGCTGCTTGAGGCACATTGTGCAAATCAGGAGCTTATTTATGAGCGACATAGGATCTCAGGGGCCCGAGCACAACATGAGCACAGCCCCCGAGTCATTAAAGAGTGATTTTGGCATGCACTTCCACTCCTCTCACAACCCCCTCTCACCTCCCTTGAGGCTTGAGCAGCACCTGCCCCCCACCCACATTTGAACAGTCATTTAAGATGCCAAACATATGTGCACGCATTCTCTCAATTTAGCATCCATGCTGTCAGACACACACGCCCACATGCTATATTTGTATATGTGATGCAAATGAAAACATTTAAACTCAAGAGAACATTTCAAGAGCAGCTGGATGACGTGTTTCTGCACAAAGACTTTTGCATCAATACGCAGACACCAAGGCTGATGTTACCTTGATTTTTTATTTTTTTTTTACCAGTGGGGAAAGGCAGTGTCGAGTTTTGTGTTAATAGGCAGATTGATGTTCTCAAAGGGTTATGGGTCACCTCCCTCACTTGCACCGGGACAGGGTGACGGTTCTGGCTGGTTGACTGTGAGAAAATACCATTTAGGAATGGCTGGTGACACGTTTATTGAGCCTGTCAAATTAACAAAAGCAATGAGCTGAGCCGGGAGAAGGGTCACAGTAACACACACACATACATGGACAGAGGTAGAGGAAAAAAGAGCTTTTAATATCGCCTGATCCAGAAGTTGTGCATCAATCAAACACTGATCTCTGTGTCACCTTGGGCTTTTCAGAGCCCCTGCAGAGTTGTTTGACGTCAGTGGTGTTAGGAAAGCGAATGTGGTGTGAATTTTATTTCACTAGTTCTGCTCTACAAAGTGCAGGGATCCATACAAAATTACTTTAAGTACGTTAAAGTACGTAGGATAGAGATGATGAGATACACAGATATGTTCTCAGACAGAGCTCGTACACAGAATTAAAAAATATTTGCTGCGATTTGGTGACCCCAGTTTCAAAGTGCAATACTGTCTTTAATATGGACAGCTGTACACGTCCATCTGTTATGATTTCATTATTTACGATTATCAAACACTAGTGAACACACAGGCAACCGCAACAATACAAGACATAGCAAACCAGCTCACATTACTTACAAGTCCAACAGCAAGAAGGCCAGCGTCTATCTGCAGCCTTTTATTTCACAAAGCTCTGACCAACGACTAAAAGCCAGTCCGAGTTTTACTCTTGCTGGGTCACTCTACTATTTCTCTTCTTAGCATCCTCCATCGTCCTCTATCTATCTTTTCCTCTTCCATTAGCTATTCCTGCAGAAGCTGCTGAGCCTGGTTGCATAGGCCACTTGCCAGGCACCGGTTCTAGCACGATGCCAGCACTTCTTTTTAGGTTAAAGTCATTCTCAATCAGGCATTAAAGGACCAGTGTGTAGGATTCAGCGCCATCTATTGGTGAAGTTGGAGATTACAGCGATTTGAATACAGCTTAGCCTCCCATGTAGGAGAAACTGCAGTGGCCTTGAAATTCAGATTCCAGGCAAGGCCCTATCTAGAGCCAGCGTTTGCTTTGTCCATTCTGGGTTATTGTAGAAACGGCAGTTCAACATGGAAGAGAACATCCGTAGATAAAAACATCTCATTCTAAGGTAACATAACATAAACACAACAGTTTTCAGGTGATTACACACTAATGAACACATATATACCTATACCTTTTAAATGTAATATTATATTCCATTTCTGCCAATTGATCCTCCTAAATGTTACACACTGGACCTTTAAAAGAAGACTTGAATCAATGAGACATTTACCAGAAAGAAACAAAGGGCATGTATCTCTACTGAGGCGCAGATGTACTGTTTTGTTTTGTTGTATAGTATCTCCATCTGTGAGAACTGTGTGCCGAAGCTTTGTCAGTGGAGGAAGAGGTTGGCTCCTAAATCGAAATAACACCTCCAAATGGCTCAATAAGTGCTCCTCCTCCCTCTCATCTCCATTAAGAGGTTAGAACAGTCAATAGGTCCAGCCGAACACTGGGGACTGACCTTATTGATTTCACCAACAGGGGAAGGAGGGCAGCCATTAACTGTGCACTTCCTGTGGCCTTGGTGGAACAGCTAAAACTCACTGAAAACCCGACTGTATTACCGACTGATCCCATGCTTCTTTTTTCTTTAAGTAAACTGGATTTTGTTTAATTGATCATTCATTCAACATCAGTAAACCTACTATGTATGTTCATATTATTGTGTCTTGATTAGCAAGCAGTGAGACAGATGATGCAGAAAAATCTACATGGTATGTTGTGAGTTCGTCTGACATACACAGTCTATAACAGTAAATTAACCAATCACATACTGCAACAAAGATCTAACAAAATATGTCCTTAGGCCATGAGGTACCTTATTAAATCATGTTTACCCCAAAACACAGTTTATTTATCTGAACCTCAATCATGTAATATAGACACCTATAATGGGAAACAAGGCATTTATGTGAACATGAAGGTTATAGTGGTTAAATTAAACCTCCTAAAAGTAACACACAAATCAGTTGTTACTTTTATTCATTTTCATTGTGAACGTTTTGGCTATTCCTTCTTCAGCATGCAATAGTTTCATGGTGCTTCCAACATTTCCCTATAGTGTCAATTAACTCCATTCCAACAGGTACACCAAGTGACTAAAGCTAGTCAGACGCTTCTGCCGTCTATCAACATAAAATAAAACATTTACAAAAACTTAATACAGATTATCTCCACTAGTTCTCTGGGTTTGACTGGTGTGAATCCCACCCATTGTCATGGATGCTGTGCATTTGTGTTAACTTGTGTTAAAAAAGTGGCAGAAGGCACTGGTCATCTAACAGTGTTATTAATCTCCATTGTAAAAATACTCTAATTTTCTTTATATGAGTGTGAGCTGTTCTTTTGTGCTGGAGTGGTCTTTTCTTGCCCCCCTTAAAGATGCAAAACATAATAAAGTCAAATGCCCCTATAGGATTAAGTAGAAAGTGTAGTAACGGTCAAGTAGAAGTTGTTTTTTATGTTATTCCCTCCACGCCGTCTGATTTGTTTCACTATTTGTTCTCCTTTACAAATACTCGGACAAACACAGATTTGTTTGCTTTTTTTTTTTATCAAAAAAGGATATAGAGTATTTCATTTTGACATCAACAAACCTCTAAATTTACACAGCAACAGAAGCCATAGAATCACACTGTAACTTCAGAGGCACAAAACAGGAAACTTTTAACTACTTCAGGTTGCACATTTGTCATTTTTGAAAATGTAGAATCGCCTGTTTAGGTTTTATCCATAATGTCAATGAATATTGTAACAATGAAATCATGTTTGTAAGGGGAAAGAAGGAGGTACATGTGGTTACGGGGGTCCAGCCACTGAATGAAGAACATTTATCAAACAAAAAACTGAGGAAAGAGAGACAGAGAGAGGGAGAGGGAAGAAACAACAGCACACAGTCCATGTGGACCACATCAAAACAAAAACAGAAACATGAAGAAGATGAGCGTCTGCTTCTCAGACAGAGCTCGTTTTATCATTCTCATCTGGTGAGCAGCCCCGTCACAAACTCCTTGCACTTTCTTGTGTTCAAAGACGTTTGTGCTGGACTCTATTACTATATTTTCATACATATATTTCTATATTTTTTTCTTTACAAGTGTTTATTTTCTACATTTGTTATCACAAAAAACACGACTTTTAAACAAATGCATAAAAACAGTTACATAATGACTGTTCATGACTTTTGACCAGAACTGTTACTATGGATTTATTGCTTTGTACACTGAGTAATGTTTGGTGCCACCTGCACACTTGGGGGTCCATATGCTGGAACCTTGCTGCTAATGGTCTGTTCTCCTTTAAAAATGTTTGAGTTCCAGCTAAATCCCAGCTCTGCTCTTCACTTTTGGTTAATTGTGCAAAGAAATTGAAGCATCAGTAACAGTTTCTGAGACAAAGACAAATAAGTTCTGAAAAAAAAGGAAACAAAAAACAAAAAAGACATACTACAAATTTCACGTTGTTCCATGCATAAATACACATCCACACACATCTATATTGTGAAGTGCTGACTTAAGGTCTCCACAGACAAGTGACAAATTAAACAAAATTGCCTCCCTTCAGACCTTGTCAGTGTAAGTGCACATGAGGACATGAGGACAAAACAGATGCTGGAGGCTTGTTTGTGTTTGCTCATTCTTTCTATTCAGGAGCCTAAAACACTTTTCATTACCAGGCTTCTGTAGGAAAAGACAGGTCATTACATTATGCATTAATTCATAAAACGTCTAATCGCACCTCCATTCTGTAATGGAAATGGACTATTGGCAGTTTATCCAAATTGCCACCTTTGTGATTGCCCTGCTGCTATATTGTCTCTATAACTGTAAAGAGAAATCTCCTGTTTTGGTGAGCTTTATGCAAAGTATAGATATACGTAAACATCCAAATACTTGTTCAGGAATGTTCACTACAACCTCTATAATGTCTTTTGACATTTAAACTCTCTGAAAACATATTTTCTCAATAAGATTCTGATGGGATGACACATGAATACTCAAATTTCAGCGAAAGTTAGAACCGTTTTGATTATTTGACACAACAGATTCTTGTATTTTTATTTTTCTTGTCGCTGTTTTTAAGTGAGTGGGGCTCAGCTACAAAAAGGGGATATTACTTATTTCTATGCACCAATCAGAGCTTAGCAACACTGGAATCAGAATCTGATGACAGTTGTTTGGTAACTGTTGGTCAAACCACTGTTGGCTGATCAAATCACGCTCACACAGTCAGGATGAAGCAGATGAATGTTTTGAGTGTTAAAACTCTTAATAAATAATACATAAAAATTTTGATTGTTGTTTACTTTATGTCATAAATATCTTATGTTTTAGAGAATTTACTCTCTCATCTCTTTGATATCCCCCCCCTCATTAATTATTAGGTTTGCTGCTCTAATAGAGTAAGACTCTCATACTGATTTAGGCTATTCTGTAATTTCAGTCAAGTCTTTACATTGCACAAATCCTATAAGGTTGTGAACAACCATTAATCTCTTGATCTAACAATGTCTAAATTGAATCTATAAACTCTGCTACATATTTACTCTCTAGTTATCTCTGTCATAGATATATGTTTTATTTAAGACAGATCTTTCAGCAAAGCATTGGTACAACTAGACTTTCAGTAATGGTGATTATAATAATGAAAATGACTTGAGTCCTGCACTACACTGCTAAGATGTGACGGCTTGCAAAGGCTAAAATTAAACGAGGTACTGAGTTACAAAATGGATCACGTGTAGCAAACATTTGACTGACATTTTTACCTTTTATGCAAGTGTAACCAAACAGTCACCACAAGTCAATATATCACTCGTCAAATCTCAACACCAGGTCACTTAACATGTGAAGAACTTTTACACACACAGAAGCCGGTGACAAGAGAACAAAAGTCATCATATTGTGCATTAAAAGGACACACTACTCTGAGTGCATTCAGGAGAGATACAGTACAATCTATATCAACAGAGTGTCTAGTTTCTGTTTACAATGCTGTGCATTGACATCTATACACTGTAATGGCTGGCTTGTAGGACATTGTACTGTAACTTTGATAAATAGGGGGTCGATTCTGATGGGCAGCTTCTATGTAACCCTACAGGCTTCAGTGTAGTCAGGAAGCCTCAGCTGATGGGATGAAAATGTTCACATTTATACACAATTGCACTCCAAATAAATATATCTATTATCAATATGCATAATAAGACATTTACAGACTGCCAATTTGATATGAGTTACACCTCTATTAATCGAATATCTTTAAATTTTTTATACATTTTCGTAATAGTTACATTAAGTTGACACTTTTTTAGATTTATTTTTAGGATTTGTGCAAACAATACAACAATGGATTGTACTTTTTCTTGTTTCTCATTTGTTGTTTGATATTTTTTATGACTTAACTGATGCACACTCAGGAAAATAAGTCTACTCATGTTTCTGTGATGTGTGTTTGGTCTAGGAGTATCCCTCATCCTGCCTGTATCCATAGCCTGCTCCCTGTGCTTCTTCCTGGACATACTCCTCCGTCTTCTCCCAGCCTGAAGCCCAGCCTCCGTTCACCTGTGTGGTTGCACCATAAGACTTAGCCGGACCTCCTAAGGCACCATAATTTTGAGTGATGTCGCCCGTCTCCTCTGCCAACTCATCCTCGTCAATGAAGCCACACTTCTCCTCGCTGGTCAGTTCTGGGTCAGCCCATGGCTGTTTTTCTCCCGATGCAAAGAGCCCATAGAAGATCACACCTCCATAATGCACCATGGAGGCGATCAGGAACACAGACTGCCACTCCTCTCGAGTCTGAAGAGGAAGAAAGAGGGAAGGAAAACAAAAAGTTGTTTTTAACCCCTTAAAGGAAATGCCAGGACATTTTTCTTACTGTCAACAAATCCCACAGAAACACCTAAAACTAATGAAGAATATGAAGGAATGAACAATAATTAGATCCTAACTAACAAGACATTGTTACACAAAAACAGAAAATGAGTTACATGTTTCTTCAATACCATCAACATAGAAGTATTCACTAGTGGGTGAAATTCGGCGCTGGAAGTACCGGTATTGCATGATTTACAATACATACTATGTTATGTATGTAAGTAGCCAGTTGTTTTAAGAAATTGTTCAGTTTAAAAAAAAAATAACATTATCTTTGTAATTGTGACCCTGTGCAGCCTTAATTCTGAATTGTGCATTTATTAAATGTTTACTGCTTATAAATATCAATTAGGGGGACTTAAAATGTTGCCATGCTCTCCTTTAAGACTCATGAAATGAGAGGATCTTTGTTACTGTAATGTTTGGTGCCCAGAGAACAAAGCTCTTACCTTGTTCTTTGTCATAGTACCAACAATCAGTGGGCACACCATCCCAGACAGGGTACCCACACCATTAGAGATGCCCATTAGGATACTGGCATAGCGTGGAGCAATATCCAGGTGATTGACATTAAAGCCTGATGGAGAGAAAAACATACAATTAAAATATTTTTTAAACATTTTAAGGCAAAGTAGTCAGACTTAAATGCCACATGGAGGGAAACACTGTGACAGTATGAAGTAATAAAAGCCACAGAAGCAGGACACAGCTGTAGATAAAAGCTGCACAAATGGTGACCATCTTGTTGCAGACATAGGAAGCAACTCGCCACACATCCTCCTCCTCCCCCACTCTGACTGGCTGAATGAGTAAGTGTCCTTGTGAGCTGCCTGCCTGGCAAATCCCCCGGGATAGCTAGCACTGAATTATTAAACACTCCAGGAAAGCTCAAGAACAACTGGCAAGAAGCTGATTTTGTACACAGTAAGCGACCTCTGCATCCTCTGTAACTAAACATAAACAAAAAATTGAATTGAATGGCTTCATGTTACAAATAATATCTGAAATCTGAGTCTTTCGCTATGCGATATTGATATTGCATCATGCTCAGTGTTGGTATTTACATCATGCATCTGCAACAACAAATAACAACAAACATAACACTGCTGGGAGGTTTGTAACTGTGTGTACTGCATGTCATTTTAAACACAACAATGTTTTTCTTATAATATTTTATAATCTAAGCACTCACAACTGCATGTCAAAGTGTTAGAAAATTACAGTAAAGAATTAGGGAAGTACAGAAAATACAAACCTAGACTATTCAATCTTACCATCAGAGGAAATCTAGTTTATATATAATGTTTTCCACTTCCACAAAGCGTAGAAAACTTCATTACTATTACCCTTTTAGCTAAATTATATTAAAAGGGATAAAAAGAAATCTCTCAATTTCAGTTAAACTTGCTTAAATTTACTGCAGGAAGTACGAGCTGCTAACAACCACTAAATTAAACGAATAGTTTGACATTTTGGAAATGCACTTGTTCTCTTTCTTGCCAAGAGTTAGATGAGAAGATCAATACCACTCTCATATCTGTACGGTGAGTATGAACCTACTGCCAGGAGACGATTAGCTTAGCTTAGCATTAAGACTGGGAGCAGAGGGAAACGGCTAGCATGGCTCTGTCATCTTGGAAGTCCATAAATAACCCCCCATAAAACCACAGCTGGTTGTTTTTACACTTTGTTTTTGTGTCAATTAAACAATCAGGACATAACATGTTAGTTAGTGATATTCAGAGTAGGGACATTTAGTCTCTCACAAAACACTCTCCTGGCTGTAGCTTCATATTTAGCCACGTATGAAAGGGTAACTGATCCTCTAATCTAACACTCAGCAAGAAAGCAAATAAATGTATTTTACAAACATGACCAATTCTTCCTTTCACTAGACTTTTGAATGTCATTGTTCATTTTCTTTGAAGTACTGGTTAAGAAAACTGTTTTTGTGGTTCTTTCTGCATATTCACACATTTATCCCGTTCAAATATGGTTAATTATCCTTCTCTGCATTCCCCAAATCCCTTGGAATTCCACTGAAAACTACAAAGCCACACTACAATAAATCCGGTAATATTATATCTTAAATTGTTTAATTTGTACTAACCTGATATAGCAAATCCACTGAAGCCCACTGCCAGCACCAGGAAGGAGATGGCCATCCCTTTGCTGTGGGAATATCCTACCACCAGCAGCAATGTGGCCTCCATGCCAAATCCTAACAGAGACAGACAGCAGGTCACACACACACAGAAACACACAAAGCCCACGGGCTGTTGGTCATCGCAGTGCCAATTGAATTAAGCATGATACACGGCCTGCACCCAATTACATAAGTGACAGATATGAAATCAATGCACAGTCACAATCAGTGAGTCAACTTGTGTAAGTATTGAACAAATAGATTTTTATAAAAACATAAACACAACCAGCTCTTAAATCCATCTGGCAGCGAAGAGCAACCGAAAAGTGAGCACTATGGATCTACCACAGTGAAAGTAACACCTTGTAGCTGTGCAGAGAAAGGTGTGGAAAATGATATTTCATCCGCGGTTCAGACTTCTCACCTCCACAGTTCATGATTTTCCTGACAGTGGTAGTTGTCATAATGTTGTTGCTGCGTAGGTAGTCGGCCAGCTGGCCGCCAATGGGCACAATGATGGTCATCACCAAATGGGGCAGGGCAGACAGTATGCCAACCTACAACCACAGACAGAAAATCAAGCAATCAGCTGCAGTATGAGATGGCAAAATAGCACACTCGTTACTAATTTCTTATGAAATACAACATCATACTGTGAGTATAATCACTGACAACTACAGTGTCCCCTCAACTACTCATTTTTGCATCTATAAAATGTGGCACATGCCATGTGTATAGTGCATTATGATTGAGTTTTCTAAGTGTTAATCTCTTAATTAATAATAACTAAAGTTGTTTTTCTTGAACTTCAACTTGGATCGTTGCTTATTTAGTCATGAATATTTAATATCATACATACTGAAGGTATAAAAGCGAGTTTCTATGGGCTTTAAGATATTGCCTACAATATTAAAATTGCAATTTGATGAATTGTTGGAATAAAGTTACACCCAATGTTACAGTTAGAATTATAATTGCATTTCCCCATATGAATCACTTATTCTATGATTATTTGTTCTACATGCAACCAACACCACTTGACTGAAAAACAAAACAAAACATCAGTGTCATATAATTTGTGACAGCAGTCACTTTGAAAATATGTTGTATCTTTTGTGAACTGATGCTGCCTAGTTATGTAATATATCAGTTCATGAGAACGAACCCACCAGTTGCAGTGACATCGATTCTGATAATGATTCATTCCAAGAGCAAAGCCTCACATGCTCCGCTCTAAAACACTGGCGTTGCATCATTTATTGATCCCACAATTCATGCTCCATGTTTGTCACTTGTCCACTGACTAGTATTGTAAGCTCACCTTGCTTATCTCAAATCCAAACACTTCCTCAAAGTATGCAGGCTGGCTAATCAGCAGCAGGTAGAAGGTCCAGCTCCTGCAGAAGTTGGCCACGATGATTGCATAGACAGGCATAGAGGTGAAGAACTTTTTCCAGGGAGTCTTGTATTTCTGGAATAAATGACCTCAAAGATTAAATTTTATACACAAATATACACGATGTGTTTGATAGTGTCTCTGACAAAAGATAAATGGTTGATGCAACTGTAGCCTTTATAACACAAATGACTGAAAACAAAGATATCGAGTGGAGTAAATTATATTTATTGTCTTATCTGGAGGGTATCCCCTCACCTCGGAAGGACCCATTAGCTTGGCACTCTCTCCAATGCTTTCCTCAATGTAGCAGCGTTCCTCATGAGTGATGGTAGGATGTTCAGCAGGGCTCTCATAAGACACAAGGATCCAGAACATATACCAGAAGATGCCGACGCATCCTGCATATCACAGACAGATTACATGTCAGAACGTTAGATGAGTACAGATGAAATACTGCAGCTTATTTTGACCCCAGCAGTGAGTGCACAAAGAGTGTTTGGCAGTCTGATCTTTCCAAAATGCCTGAGAGAATAAAACCCAGACAGGAAAGCTAACTGTATTCAGTCCAGAGAGAGAGAGATGGGGGGTTATTTATTGACACACCCAAACATCGGAGGGAGGAAATCAATACACAGTCTGCCTGGATAAATCCATTTGACTTTCACTGGACTCTGAGTGTCAAACTCTTAAGGTTTCTACCAAGCTTAAAAACACTTTAGCCAACCATTTTTCAACATGTAATTTTTCACCACAGAATTTTACCTCGTCTCCCATTCCTACTGTACAAACACACACACATATACAACATGTAAGCCCTCATCAATCAATCTTACCATAGACGTAGAAGACTGAGGACCAGCCTGAGTACTGAACCAAGATCCCAGCCAGAGGCATCGCTATCACAGCACCAGCGTAAGAGCCTGACAGGCAGCGAGACAGGGGAGTTAAAGCTCAGACTTCTTAAACATTATATGCAACACATCAATTCTCAATTTATAAATGCTAATAGGAGAAAATAAGAAATTTACCACAGAATGAGATTGTAGCCAGACGACTCCTTTCCAGCGGAGGAGCCCACTTACTCCAGATACCATGACAGGCTGGGTAGGTCACTCCCTACACACACCACACAGCATGGTGAAGAAACAGTTAGCAGGAACTCCATGTTCTTTAGTCGCCTATTGCACTCAGTGGATATATAGTATATATGTGGAAATGTATAATGAGGTTGTTGATGCCCCAATGTCGGCCAATTTTTGGCATTCCAGGAGCCAGTGGGAGATTAGTCCCCTCCAACACAATGATTTAAATCCGATATCAATAAATATCGATGTGTTAAAATTAATATATAGGTTTCTACAGTGACCAGATTATAGGCTGTGTGCAGTGTGTGTTTGCGTCCATTTTAGCTGGATCCAGCACAGTGTCGTTCCAGTAAATAATCAGCATGTAAATAAAAACAAAACCCATTTTACACATCCATTTCAAACATTATAAAGCCATTATAATGCTTCACATTCACATGGTTATTTCTGGGGGTTTAGGATGTACCAACAATCTATGAGGGAATACCCTTTTGGATATGAACATGAACCAACAGATATCTGATATAATATTAACAAGAATTAACATTTTCACCCCTGTAATTAACATGAACAAATTGCACAGAGCCATGAGCAAAGAGGACTTGATGAGCTGTTCATGGAGCAAAGCAGCCCTGCAGCTATTAAATGTTCATCAGCAGCTAATTTGAACAAACTGTGTTGATGTAAAATACCATCTGCAATGGACTTTCTTAGGAGAGCAGTGCAGTGCCTCCAGTTTTTAAGGGATGAAATATTAGATTGATTCCATTCATTCTCCACAAAATGATTATTTAGTCTTCAATAAAGATGCGTGGCAACATGTAATATGATGCTGGGCTACTGACAAAAGAAATATCTACCATCATGACGAGTGTTTGATACCATTTGTCCAAAAGAACTGAAATAACACGGAGAACCCTCATCCAGACATTCCCAATGATCTCCTACATGTTCAAACAATGCCTACAAACAACTGTATCCTTTTAAAAATGTACATAGTAAGAACTGTAGTATCAGCTTTCTGTATTTCTCACTCAACAATCAACAGACCAATTTCCTCAACATGCCAAGATTTACTAGAATGGGAACCAGACAAATATGCAAGCTCATACAATGCCAGGCCTAAAAAAAAACTACTATGCAGCAAGCAGATATCTGTGTGTCGTGTTTCACTATGAAGCTTTCGCCTATCAGCATTTTCCTTTTCATCCATCTGTTTGCCAACACTTTGCTGTTGTGTTTCCAGGATACAAAGTGTGACAGCAACAAAACAAAAAAAGGAGCTGGACTATCCCACAAACACTCAGCTGTAGTGGACTGGATCAATACAACTCATCTCACATTTCTTCTCCAGTCTTTCCTTTGCTTTCTTGTGGAGGAGAATTTGCAGGAAGCCCCACTGTATAGTGTATTTTTGCAAATCCCCAGTTATTGATAGCCATAATCACATAAACAGACATTTGTAACCTTTATGTTATATTAATAGTGAGACTACATTCAGTGCATCAGACACACTACAAGAAAGATTTATTTATTTTTAAATTTCATATCGTTTTCTTACCTCCACCAGCCCTTGTAATATCCTCACAAAAATGACACACCCATAATGGACTCGGGCTGCCGAGGGAATGAACATGTTGAGAGTCGAGGTCAGGACAATGGCTGCACCAAATACCCTGAAAATGATGAGATGTATTTTTAAATAATAGCATTTTATATATAGCAGCTCCCTCATAATTATTTCATCTGAACTGAATATGTGGTGTCATTAACATAATATAGCTTTGTGACATCGCGCATTGAAATATAAGTAAAATATTGCTGGTCTTTTTTTTTTCTTAATTACACTCTGCACTAAAAATATCCATAAAACATAATGGATTTATATTTTTTACAATGAAAGGCCATTTGTAAGTCTCCTCGTCCTCATCTCCCTTTGAGAAATCAGTCTCATTTACAACCTCTGTGTATATTCAGAGCACCGGGTAAGGGCACGCGTCGACGCTGTTCGAACGCCGTGTCCTCGGTTCTGATTGGCCCGGCCCCACACGCGCTGCCCTTACGTCAGTGGACTAAATATTTCAAGCAGCAACGCCCAATCAACCGGATGCGTACGTGTCGCTTAGCAACCATTTTTCACGTCGGTACCGTTCAAGAAATATGTTTTTTTATTATTATTATTATTTGACGTTGAAATAGACGCAAATAGAGGGTTTATTGATCTTTAGTTGCTCACATCTTAGGTTATCTATTTATTGTCCTTAAAGGTAAAAAAAAAAAAAAAAAAACAGAAAGGGGGGAAGGAAGAACATTATGAGTTGTTTTTATTTTTTTCCATCCTATTTTTACCGTGAGGGAGCAGCTGAAATGAGGCGCAGGGGGAGGACCAGCAGGCCATCCATAAACACCGAGCTATTTCTCATTTCTGTCACGTTCTCCCGCCCCTCTCATGTGCACGCGGGGGGGCAAGCCCTAATCCGGTTGAGACCACTGTTGGGCACGAGACCAATTGATTCAAATACATCCGCGTGTCAATCAACAGGACGAGGAACAGACAGCCAGGGACATAAACACAGGCCTCCTATAGGCTATATTAAAAAAACATGGGCCTACATTAAAATCAGACTATAACAGGTAGACTAGAGAGGCTCACTGGCTGTTATATGTCATAATCAATATTATTGGGGAATTGTTGTGCTTTTAAATTCGTAAAAGTTTATTATCATAGCGAGCTCAGGATTTAGGCCTCTAGAGTTGAGCTATAAACGGAAGCATTTTCCCTTTATGGTGGTGTTAGCACTAAATTAAATGAGCATTTAACAGCCTACCAACAGCCAATCAATAAAACGTGCATATTAATATCATAACCCAGTGTCTGTATATTATAACCTATAAGCTTATTATAATGGGTGACGCATTGGCAGTGCTCATGTGAATTAAAGCCTTTGGCGACAAGACAGGGTCTGGTCTCCATGCCCTGAGAGAGCGACAGATTAGACCCGACTCCCCAGGGAGCTCATTAACAGGTGGCAGAAAGCCCTGACACCGGGAGCTGCAGGCCCGCCAGCCCGGTGGCCTCCCTGCAGCTCTGCATCACTTCAGAGCAGAAGACTGTCTGCTGCCTTTATACTGATACTCAGCCTAGAACTGTGAATTCATCCGGTTCATAATTCAGACAAGAATTTTATGTCTGGTTGGCCTTGGCTGTGTTTAAAGTAAGCTATTTATTTATTTATTTTTTTTGCTTTTGGCTTTATTTATTTCCAGTCCCCATTTGTTCGTTTTCGTTTCCTGCGTATTTAAAAAAAACAATAAAGAAAGGAAGTGAGAGGAAAGGATGCCAACTGTGCAGTCATTTTGTTTTCATAGGCCAAATAGAATAAAAAATCATAATGCTTCGTCTGCCAGAATAACGTGGCTGGGTTGTATTTATGGTGAGTGCCGCCTACCTGTTTGCTGCCAGCCTAGAGGATATGTATCCTCCCGGGATTTGTGTCACGATGTAGCCCCAGAAAAAAGATCCGTGAATTAGTCCCACCGTCTCTGGATCCCAGTTGAATTTGGCTTTCTGGTGTATAACATGGAAAACAAAACCAGTCAAAAAAAAAAAAAAAAAAGAGGAAACACTGACTTTGATTATTCGCCTCTGCTGGAGAATACAGCATTTTTAGGCAATAATTCAAGAAATGACATGTATTCATTAATTCCCTGAATGGAGTGATCCAAAGCCAGGCCTCTTTATTAAAGGCCTGGGGGGGTAATAGCCTTTATTTCGATTAGATGACATTGATATGATCACCAGAATCATTCATCTGTCCTGAACTGTCAGAGAAAAGCTACTAAGAACCTGATGTTTAAACTCAAATAGCTGAGCTGTTGGATGCAGTTTATCCCATTATTTGGTTAATATTTGGCCTAAACGCAGAAACAGAGATATATACATACATTTTACCTAAATATATATAGGCTATAGTATATGCTATGTTATTGTGAACTCACATATTGAGACATATTTTTAAAGATGTTTGACTTTGCACATATTTGTCCTTTATGCAAGTACACCCTGTCTAGGAAATGGGAGTTTTAAAATAGGCGAACATTAGCGGTAATTGTTGTAATAAAGGTTATACACAGGCTTTATATAAATGCATTTAGTCTTTTTCTTTAATTGCACCATATCATCCAAACAGTAGTCTATAGTATAAAAGATATCTGACATAAAACAGCATCATGTCTATGGCGCATTAATGATTTATGCATGTTTTATGCAAATATTAAAGGATTTCTCACCCTAAAAATATCCACTTAAATATGAATAAGCTCATCAGACCGGATTTTGGCGACCATTTAGGGTTTGGGAATTTATTTCATGGCCTAATACAACAGTAGGCCTTACACAGTGTGTATCTCGTGTGGAATAATTAATGTCCCTCCTTCTTCCTGTCTCTTTCTTGCTATAATAATAACCAGGTGTCTCGAGGCATGCGTGCAAGCCTTTACGTGTTTTTTTTTACGTCAGGGGAGCTTGGCGCCGTTGCCACACCTCTTTGATGATGATCTTGCCGTTCTGGTGAATGGTGCTGTTGTTGACCATGCCCACGATGGCCACGCCCAGGTTACACCGGATACCGAAGGAGATGCAGAAGCCCAGGCCGCTCAGGATGGCGATGACGTACCGGCGGGGCAGACCGCAGCACTTGCAGTCGCACAGCGGGGGTTTCTTCTCCGCGGCCTCCCGGGGCCGCCCATCCTCCGTTAACTCGATCACCTCCCCGGTTTTCTGTCTCCTCTCCATCACCCTGCAACAGCCAGGTGAGGACAGTGTCTAGCAAATATCCCCCATATAACATATCACATGAGATGATGCTCCTAAAAAACAAAAATCCCTCCTATAATGGAAAAAAAATTCTAAGAAGGCCCCTTTTTATTTGTATTTTTCTTAGAATTGTTCATTACGGACTGGACACTTGAGAGCTTGGGGAGGTTTTGTGTGCCTATATCTGAGATTTCTTGTCATTTCAGTCAAGAAAATGCAGGAGGCAAGTCTTGCAGAATCACCACAATGAACCAGCTGTAGGGAAGCTGAGGCCTCCATACTGTAGGCTAGTCTCTGTCTGCCACATCTATGAGGCACAAGTCAGACGACTTAAAATTAAATACGTGTATATGTTATATACAATATGATAAGAAAAAAAATAAAAAACAAAAACAAACTTCGCCTGTGGAGCTGGAAACAGGCGATCATGTCCCTGACTGTACCGCATTGCAGCAGCCCGCTCACTTTCACACTCATTAGCATTCACGGGACTGAGCAGCAGCTCCAGCCTCCAGACACACGTCTGTGGGTATTCCTCGAACTCTTTATTTATTTTATTTTTTCCATCCAGGGAAGTCACATTTACTCGCGACACGCTGTTTGTCCAAATTCAGGATGCAAAAAAATCATAAAGATCGAAACAATTAAATCCCAGTGTCTGCGGATGGATTAACAGCAACTGGGCTAATTAAGTGTGATAGGAAATAAACGAATTAAATGGCAATGAATGTGTGGCTTGCAGTGAAATCGAAGGCCTGCTATTTATAGGGTACGCCTCAGAAAATACAGAACAACCGCGTTTTTTTCCTGAAAACCTCACTGAAACCAAACTTCAGCTCATCGTCAGTAAATTTGCATTCGTTTTTACCGGATTTATCCTTTAGATTTGAAGGATTTTTAAGCCAAAAACATGAGAAAGATGGATTCACAAGGGAATAATCTGAATATAGCTGGAAGTCTGTATTGCATCTATTCAATCACAGATGCAGAAACTAATCAGATGTCTTAAAGAAATCCTTAATATTGATCGGTTGAAAAAGTGATGGTTTTAAATGTACGTTCATCATTACGCGCGTTTTTTTTTTTTTTTTTTTTTTTTAAAGATAACATGAAAAATGCATTTAGAAATTATGAATGAATCCACTGACTGTCGCGCGTGGCCTGCACGTCGTGCATAACCTGTCTACTAATGAGATTCACGTGCAGGCCCTACATCAGGATGGACTGACTGTGTGTGTGTGTGTGTGTGTTGTCTTTCATCCACACACACACACACACACACACACACACACACACACACACACACACACACACACATACGTACGTACACATTTGATTGCATAATTTTCTTCTCACTTCTAGAGGCGTGACTAGAGATCCTTGTAAGTTGTAAAACAAAATTCCGGGTGACCTGCAGACATACACACCACCGTGACTCGTGTCCGGTTAAAAGCATGCCAAAAATCACACTTTACCACGAGGAAATTGGCACGCGCCACTCAAGATGTGTGTGGGTGTGGGGGGGGGGATGCTTGTCCTTACCTGTGCATATGACCCAGGGCCTTCCCCGTAAATTCCTTCACCCCCGCCGTGGCTCTCGTCTTCACTGACTCCATATCCAGTTTCTATATGTAAGGCCTATTTCTCGGTATTATTTTACTGCTTAATCGTCATGTTACGGCGCAGGATGGCCGACTGCAGCGGCTACAAGGAAAACAACAAACGAAGTTATAATAAATCGGGAGTCCAGGGAGGCGACGATCCAAAAAGAACGAGCCTAATTTTCACAATGAAAGCGCTGAGGCGAAAACACCTTCGCGTAAAGAAGGGGAATCAAACGAGCTGCGCGCCTTCATCCACCACCAACTCATCTCCTGCCTGCCGTACAGTAGCCGCGCCAAGTGCCATCACGACGAAAACAAAAAGGAGTGAAATTGAAACGCCAGCGTCGTAGAGCGGTGGTGGACCCGTGTCCCGCAACAATAACAGAAAAAAAGGAGAGCGAGAGAGAGAGAGAGAGAGCGAGAGAGAGAGAGAGAAAGAGAGAGAGGGATAAATCGAAAAAATAAAACATAAAAGCTCAAAGTTAAGCAGAAGTGGGTGTTTGGAGTGGCTTCAATAAATCAAAGAGGGAGTGAGGCTGTATCGTGTCTCCTGTGGTGAGCGCAGGTTCATCTGACGTCGTGTTCAGCACCGAGGTCAGCGACAGCAGCAGCTCCGCGTCCAACATCTGGCCAGCTGCAGAGCTCAAATGAAGGCCAGAGTCAAAATATTACATGCTAATGAATATATATGTTTATTATTATTCATTTAGTAAAAACACATTGGGCTTTGGAGAGGAGGAAATGTTTTATAGTTTAATCCCTCGCCTTACGTCGCAGTCTAAATGATGTGAGATATAATACAGCAGTATTTCGATTACATATATGTTTCTATTTGGTGTTTTTATTCATAAAAAGTATTTATTTTAAAACAAGGACAGTCAACCCTATATATGAAAGCTGCAGCTCTCTGGAGGGCGGTGCTATGGAAACCAAATGAGCAGGAGTGGATTCCCCCCCCCCCCCAACAAGCTCCTCTTCTCAACGTAGGAATCCATCAATTATTTAAGTGTCTCCCATATTTTCAGCCCCCCCGACAACCACATCTTCCCACAGAGGCATGAGTAAAATTTAGGAAGCATTTTTCTTTTATATTTTATTTAGTTTCAGATATCTGGTATTAGATTTGAAGGAGATATCATCTGATAACAACTGTCCTTCTGCAGCATTTGCAGACCAGATTTAGCGAAATGGCTAAAAGGCTTCAACTAGTAATGGTTATAAAACAAACATGAATAAATAACAATAATAATCGAAGTTTAAGATATAGATCTTAGATGTGTGGTTAGAGGACAAAAGGGACAGGAGAAGTGTCTTTTTTGTCATTTGTTGGTATTGGCCACCATCTGGTGCTCGTACATGGTACTGCACCTTGCTCTTATCGTTTTCTCCTTTGAATGATAACTCTGAGCCGATTAGTGATGAATTCTGCTCTTCACTCTTTCTCTCTTTATATGTATATATGTAAATATAGCCTATATATATATATATTTAGTTTTTTGTCTTAAAGTTACCCTCCATTCAAAAATGTGTTGCTTATCGTTACTTCACTGGTAACCTTGACTGTGCAGAATTATGTATATGCATTGTTCACACTAGAAGGCTGTTTTCATATTCATCTGTAGATTTCTCTGTGTTCACATAAAGTTTAAGACGCTTATGTGCAAGCAAGATTGGTGTCTACTAGTTTGGAAGCCAATCCCTGTCCAGTATGCTACTTACACATATGGTTTTGGAAACACTGAAAACTGACTTTTCAGTGAAGTAGGAGACATATATGTCTATCTAGTGTCCAGTAGTTAAACATTTGATGATGAGCAATATTTACATATTCACAGATTATTCAACAAAGAGAAGGAATAGACAGCAGCAACATTTTTGTGGAAAACAACACTAGACACTAATCATTATCCAAAGTAGAGTCTTTTTATATGTACTAAAACATGTCCAGATGGGATCTTTAAGTCTGTTAATAGATAGGGACTGCTGGAGATAGACAGGACAGGGGGAGGGAGGTCATGCAGTAAAGGGCCACAAGGTGAAATCAAATCCAGGCTGCTGCAGTAGGGACTTAGTAAATGGGGCGTGAGCTGTACCAGGTGAGCTACTGGGGGGACTGAAGTCCATGCCCTTTTTTACCTTCTCTGTCACAGCACACCTGCTTTACTTTGTCAGTCAGGTGAATACAAGACAGCAGCCAAAGGACCCAAATGCAGACAATCCCAACAAAGAAGAACAGTTCAGTGATTTATTAAAAATGCAGATACATAAGCTTATTACTAACTGATGCAACTGAGGATCCATGGGTGAACTGGAATCGAAGGTGCAGGCAGGCAGGTAGATTAAAGGGTTCAGGTACAGGTTTCAGAGGCAGGGGGATGATTGGGAAACGTGACACAGGTGAGTAGGAGGATGTGGGAGTAAGGTGACCAGGACTGATGGGCAAAGTCTGAGGGCATCTAGTGGACAGGTGGAGAATAGCAATACATCTTAATAGAGAAACAGAGGCATGGGGAAGTGGCTGAGACGGACAGAGAGGGAGAATGGGCAAGTATAAACACAACTGAGGTAGACATTTTGACATTGTTACCTGTTTTTATGGTGTTGTATAAGATATGTGCAAAGACTCACACTGAAAGTAGTTATTTCTTCATTTATTGCAAATAACAACAGCTTTACTTTATTTCTGTACAATAGGCTACACTGAACTTAGAATGTAACTGACTAAATAGTAACATAACAGAAATTCATGCCATCAAACCAGACAAAACTACTACTACTTTGCAACGACGAGCAGCAGCAACAGATGATATGAAACAGGTTATGAATTCAGATAGGAAATATTCTCTTTACAAAATCATCCAAAAACAAGTAAACACAGACGTTTAAGGCATTTGTTTGTTGAGAAGTAACATCATGCACCTTGCAGGGTCATGCTCTAACCCTCTGCATGTCTGACATCTGCATAGTGTATCAACAAGTGATGCTCAACAAACATTAGAAGATGTTTTCATCCTGAGATTTGAGTGAGCCAGGCCTAGTTTTTCACTGTCAAATATAATTTACTGATAGCTGAAATCACAAATGCATAATTTACAGTGTAAATTACAAATCGGTTTCATTATAAACACAAATATCTAAATGCGTGTTAGGCTTAAGAACATTTAAAAAACGGTACTGTATCTGATAAATGCCTGATGGCGTTTGTCTCCCACAGAATGTGTAGAAGGAGCATTTTCCTTCTCTGGTCCTTTGACAAATTAGTAATTAATAGTAACTATTAAGTGTATTTGAAGAGAACTCTGAACTAACACTGCTTGATAGTCATTTATGATGATGTGATACAAAATAAGAAATTAGGTGCTGCAGTAAATTTATTAAAAGATCTTAAAAAAGAGGATTATGAAGTAACTGAAATAACAGACAGAGCAGAAGCAGATCAATAAATTAATTGCACTACAACCCATTTAAATAGATAACATATTCTCTATATCTACAGCAAATCCTCACTCTCGTGTATCCCCACCAAGGTACAAGCAGTTCTTCTTTCTGTATATCTCTGCAATGAAGCATACGATTGTTTATGTCAATACTATATGGAGACACCAATAATGTGAAACAGATATATAGGCCATTAATTATCTACGTGTAACACAAGGAGGGGTGAAGCCGACACATGAGCGACTCCGGTGCACAAATCTGTCCTAAAACAGAATATCTGTCAAGAGATCTTCCAACATTTTTAACATGTAGTTGTTTTATTTTATGATAGAAATCTTATAATTGGTCCCGCAGCAAGTTGGAAAAACATGAGTCTGCAGCTGCTATTACTGGTGCAGTCCCTAACTCAGGGTGGAACAGTGTAATTGCAGTACGAGGGAGGTACTTGGTTCTCAAATGCACAGCTTATAAGAGCTTTACTCCAAACGAAAAACACTCACAATAACTAAGCTGCCAATCTTATAGCCCAGCTACAGATCAGAACATTAGGTAGCTACCAATAAAAAAAAAACATTAAAAGAAATATAGTGAAGCTGTCTGAAGAATAAGCACCGCCTATTAATTTTTAAATATATAGATGTGTTTTGTATTAGATATATTTAAGATTCATGAGAATTTGAGTGTTTTCTACATACTTAAATGGCAGAAAAACATAAATGACGTATAACATATATTCCTAAAATGATATTTTTTTTTTAACCAACAACAATTACCATTCAAACATTTTTACAGTTGACGCATTCAGTATCTTCCTGTCTAAACAGTCGAGTCCTTCATCTTGTATTCTCATTAGAAGAATCACATGCAGAAAATTAAATAGGTGATATCAAAACCAATTCTTTAAAGGGAAATTACACATAATGTCACATGTTCAACACCACAGACGTTGACTCTGTTAGCACACACAGAGATTATTCTCATGATAAATGGAGAGTTAGAAGGCATTACATGGGGAATGGTACAAGCAGTAGATACAATCGTTTTACTCTTTGCTATTATTTTCCATTACCAACACCTTCAAGCTGTTTGTTTTTTGGCACAGAAATTTTTCTTCCACTCAAGGAGCTGATTGTAAGCAAAGATGTTGCACTGCATTCTTTCCTGATGCCTCGCTATAGATGCTAACACAGGAGTCCATTCAGAAAAGGAAAAGATAATAGCGTTTTTATCCAAAAGACAAGAGCCCTTGTATGTGGATGTTCTCAGTTCCCAGGCATGTCCATTCTTGGCTTGGTTAGTTGGAAGTGTGGAGCAGAAGCTACAGGCACTCAGACAACACTTCATGCTTGTCTGCCACTAAGGACGTTTCTGACGGTGGCTCTGTCATGAAACTGGCACTCAGCTGGAGTTTGAGCCTCTCCACCTCGTAGTTGTGCAGGTACTCTTGAATCAGGTAGCGTTCTCGTTTAATCCGCGCCTTAACATCTGACGGGACGTCTGGGATCATCCACGCCACGAAGAACTTCACCACAAAGACCACATGCTGCAGATTTGGTAAAAGATATAATCAGTTTCCTACATTAATTCTGAAAATTAATTTTTTTATGTAAGGAGAGGGAGGAAAAGCTGAGTTGTCTTACTTCCATGATTATAATGAAGGCCATTTTGGCTGCCAGGATGTGCCAGAACTGCATGGTGTGATTGTACTCCCTCTCATGGCCTGGAGGGTAACGGTAGTCACGGTATCTACAACAAGAAGAGGGGCATCATAAAATCAGTAATGTTTGATTCAATTAATGTTGTTGTGTTTTGGGTGCAATTTTAATTTTTAGCCCAATATTCATTCTTCTTTAGCTCTGTTTTTGGTTCACCAGCTAGTTGCTAACTTTGTTTGTTTGTTTTACAGTAGGTTTATCAGAGCTTTTTTTGCTGAAAACAAAATGCCTGCTGCAGCCTGGAAACAACGCTATGAGACCTGTCAGACTGAATCAAAACAGTGTTGTTGCAGGCTATGAAACCAAAACAATAACTTGAAAGATGATAAAACGCTCTATACACCTGAGGAGAACAACAGAGTCTGGTGAGAATTTTCTGTGAGTTTGTCACTATAAGTGACCCCCCTTTCACATGACACATAGTGATTTGACCAGTTGTTCATCTAAAAATATTGATTAATGCTTTAAATC